CATAAAACCGGTATTGCTTACACGTTGAATCATTTCATTTCTAGTAAGAATGCTGGTCATACGCAGTGAAACCAAAGAAATGAAAGAATTCTAGACAATAAATAAAGAGGATGGACATTATAGTATGACCATTTCCTTTGACCGCCTTCGGCAGCAATCGCAATCATTTTGCTACATGCTTTTCCACTTCACTACGATAATAGTAACACTTTCATGTTTTTCTCGTCTTCATCTTCTCATGTCATATTTCTATTAATCAATCGATAGGTTTTGTTTGATAATTATATTCATCATTGATAGTGCAATTATTTTAAATACCTTATGTTATTTACCACTGACCATTATCTTTTAAGCACAACCACTTTCCGCAGCGCATGTAGATTGATGTCGTATGATCCCGTAGTCCTGAATTTTTCCAGAAGATACAGAGAAAATATTTCTAGTCATTTCTTCATCTTTTATTTCTTCAATTCTCATATATTTATTCATTTTCTTTTCGATTGAATGCGACGAATTCAGGTCAAATAAATTATAATTCTTGGCTTTTTATTATTGGGGTCGTCATGAATGGAAGGACAAAAAAGTTGTTTGAAGTGGAAGTATTTGTTGTCAAAATATAAATAAACAGAAATAGCTAAGGGTTTGAATCTTTTTGCTCGAAATATTCAGATTCAATCTCAAACTTTGTTACATTTGATCTTTTCACATTTGTTATTAGATTCTCATTTTTGACAATGGCCAGCTCTTTGTCATGTTATCACTGTTATATGATGCTAAACAAAAATTAAGTGACATCGTACAGTGTAGCACAGCACCCTAACTTATTTAATCTATTCAGTAATTACTAATAAAACTAGTAATTAATTAATGAAAAGAACGATGTAGTAATTGGCTGTATGAAGTCCTATTTTAATAAAATAAAAAGCTTGACGTTTAGACTTCTGTCATGAGACAGTTCTTGGCTAATGGATCACACTTATCCTTTGTTCCCTAATGCTGCTGATTGTGATAATAATAATTATCCTTATTATTATTGCAGTGATTATAATAATTACGGTTTTGATGGCTTTATAGTGCCATTATTGATAATATTAAATGGAACTTTTCGTTATCTTTGTGAAATAATCATTGCTTTCAATGTTTTTTTATCCAAAAATTTTTCGATGTAAGATCTTAATTTTTTGAAATTGAATTTATCGAAAAGATAAAACCTAATGAAGCGTACTAATTATTGGTGTGATTATAATGATTATGATTTGTAAAATTGTACAAATAGAAAATTTCACAGTATCATCGGCTATTGCATGAATAAAAAGGAGAGGAAACGTCGTTTCCAATCCAATGACATTAATGAATCTGTTGTTGGAATAGCTGAGAGCAATGAGAGTGGTGATATTCATAGATCTCTAAAATGAAGGCAAACTCTTTTCATCTTCTTTGATGAGGAGAAATTCAATTTAATTTTACAAATAATCTCAACAACAACACAAATTTTAGAAAAAAATCAACAGAATTTTTGTGATAATAAATTTTGGTTAAATGAAATTTTTGAAATTTTCGATGAAAATTTTAATGTTAAATTTATTGCCATTCTCCTATTTGTCAACCACTGATCGGTGATTCGTTTATTGGGAAAGGTCAATAAATCTAATATTTTTTTTAATCATCAAACGGTCATGTTCACTAACATATCATCTATCATCCTTTGTTTGGCCAGTTTCTAATAAAAGTTAAATGCTTTTGCTGTCTCATACAAATCCAATCCTGACATCTTCAATTAGTAAGAATATATAAAGCTACCAAACGACTGAAATCGAAAACTTTAAAGGTATGTTGTCATACTGTTTCTTTTGAAACGATCAACTTATGTTATTTCTCAATCTCACACTTTATGCACTTTAAACTTCAAACCAATAGAAAACTGAATTCTTTTTTAAAGACTTAAAATTGGCTAAGTGAGACAATATTAGGCCTTTGGCATGACGATTTACTTGAAGTACCAATACAAGATATTAGTGATTTCCACAATCGATACAATTAATTGACAATTCATCTCATGAAAGAATTTCGTTGATTTCCTGTCGGAGATTTTTTCATTTCACGAAAGAGGAATTGTGGGATTTCTGTAGCAAATGAATTAATCTGATGGATTACAAATTGTTGATAAAGTGTTTATCATTTGATACACAATATCATTCAATGTTTTTAAAATTAATTTGCAACAATTAATTCATTTCGCATAATCTTCAAATTTTATGCTACAATTATTATTATTATTTTTTGTTGGGATTCATTCATAGATAATCGGTAATTTATCGCTGGTTTTATCACCACTTCATATATTATCAAAGTTTATTTCCAAAAATGAACAGTTTTGAAAAGCATTGTAAGCTTGCTATCTGTATGATATACGTGAGGCTGTTAAAGTGTTGCAGAATTTGCAGTTGTCTAAATATAGGAATATGCAAAACGATGCAAAAATTCACAGAAAGAAAGAAAAAGGCAATGTAATTCGGTACTGAAAGTTTTTCCGTTTTTTTTTCTGGATATTCTACCGTACAAATGACAAACGATAATTCAATCACAATTTATGTATTTTTTCCTCTTCGAAATTTGATTTAAGAATTCAATTTTGTTGAAGTTTATCACCAAATATTCGTGAAATTTCGCTTCCTCCAAACTTGAATTTGTTATAAATTTTCCTGACATCCTTGCTGTTTTCTCTTTTTTTTACATCTAACGGCAACAATCAAACTGGACTTTGCTTGAAATTAGAGATATCTGAGAAATTAATTTGCTAAAAATTTTCGAAATTATTTTCCATCGAGGCAAGAGTACTATATATGACATGTCATCTTGTTGTATTGCCACCTCTGGATATTCCGATATCGGAAATTACTTCATCGATCATTTTCCTTCTAGTTTGAGCATTTCTTTGGTTGAAAAATATTTCTAAAATAATAATTGCATGGACACTCTAGCCATATTTGTTACTTGTTCACATACAATGTTATTTGAGTCGATTCCATTCTGCTTAATCTGAAGTGTGTTATATTAAGCATTGAAATAATTAATTCCGTCAATACTGTACCAAACTTAAGAAATAGCATGGTTGAATTATCTCAGCTTTGAAATCGACCATCACTGCCTTTTTCTCATTCATTTCGCTTTTTTTAAAATCTATTTTCATCGTTTTAATAAGAAAATCGTAATTGCCAGCAATTTATATTTCTTGCGGATTTGTTCAAAGTGTTATTTAAAACCTCTCCAATTCTTCTGTTTTCAGTGGAATTTGGATGAAACCATGTTGTTGTTGTTGGCCCTGCTTCTTTCGGCTTGTTTGGCTATGACAAGTGGAGTTACAAGTCGACAAGCCAAGTGTTTAATTGATTGCTATACAAAATGTCTCAGTACTGGATTGGTCAGTTATTTATTATTGGCTCTTTACTCCCTCTAACCGTATTAAGCAAAAAGATAAATCTAGAAAGAAAACTAAAATAAACAAGCAGGCAAACGAATAGCTGAATTTATTGGCCTAACTAATTAGACATTTCCGATGGATGATATTTGGTATTTGATGTAAAGGCTGAGATTTGTAATGAATGATACTGATGTCATTGCTGTATCACCTCAAACCGAAATGTTTTTTTACTTCAACTCAAAAGTTGTGTTAAAGCAAAAAAAAAAAAGCTCAACTGACTAAGACTCTTAGCTCTTGAAAGAGGTGTTGAGATAATTACAGGTCATCAGGGATATATAAATGGCTGATTAATGATTGACAGTGATTGTAATTTATGATAATCACCAACATGTCATTTCCCGCAAAATATGGAAAAGTTTCTATCCGTTGGGAATATACCATTCAACACATTTCGTTTAACTTTCTTTCTCCTCTTAATTTTTCAAAATCCTTTATCCTTCAAAACTTCAAGGAACTACTCATCTTGAAAATATAAACCAATAATGAATTTAAATAATGCTGAAAAAGAAACAAAGAAATCCTCATCGTATCGTTGATATAATTTCATTTTAGATATGTTTTCTTAACCAAAGTCATTGCTTGTATCAAAATCTTTTCTTCATTGTCACATCGTATAATTTAAACTTTTTATGAGAATTTTGAGACTTAGCAAGCTCTGAATAACTTCCATTTACTTACCTGCTTGCAGATATTAGCAATTAATTTTAAACAATGTGGCTCAATCACAATGAAACTGATAAAAATGCATCGAAAATAAGCAGTTTTGTTCTTTTTCAAGCCTGTTAATAATATCACAACTAAAAATTTCACCTTTTACTTACAGTGATAATATTAAACAAACATGAAATTGAAAAAAAAGGAGACAAGAAAAGGCCAATTAAATTTCAACTTTTTTTTTTGTAAAAATTATTCCAAATTGTATGAGAGTGTATGGTGTGCTATTTTAATTTTCGTTGAAGATTGACTTAATTCTCTTTTATTGTCATGAAATATCCATTTCATTGTCACATAATCCTTTAAGACTCACTCAATAGCATATGAGGTACCTTCTTCAAACAATGAATAACTTTGTAACCCTTCCATCTTATTGTTACCAGAATAAAATATAGGTCAAACGAGTTTAGCAAACTATTAAGGATTACTCAACAACTTGAATTACCGCTGATGTCCTTGACCAAATTTTTGTTTCTCCATGGTTTTCATATTGGAAAAAAAAATTTTCGAAACAGCTTTGAATAACTTGTTTTTCAAATTTACCTGTGGTCATTTCTCCAATCCTACTAAGATATACTCCGCTCATTATAGTATCAATCATACTGTTCCGGTCGGTGATAAGAAAAACGGAAAATAAGGGAATCAGGGATGCTTCTTATATCATTTGGAAGTGATTAACAGAGATTAAATGCAAAGCTTTAGAAATGGTTTAAACGGCTATAATAAGCTTAACAAGAAACAATACTTTTTGAAATTTTAAGTGTCGCATTGCCTTCACACTGAGACTATTTCATTCTTGGTCTTCTCAATATGCAAATATTATAGATATAAGCTAATCGACTTATTACTTCTCTTTCCTTCGAAAGATGAAAAATATGCAATTTGCATGTGCACTTTAATCATATGTAATATGTAGCAGTGCAGAATTACGATTTGTCACTGCTAATAATTTCGTTTCATTTCATTATCGATCGGTCAAATACAAAGTGTGCAAATATCCCTGTCACTTAAGTACAGCTTTAATTGCAGATAAATGCGACACGATGTAAGTGTAGTACTATAAGCAATCAAAAGTCATGCTCGATGAGTTTGGAAGAAAGTGTCATTCAAAGTAAGTCATTAAGAAGCAGCAATGCGCAGATTTGTTGGTTTAATGAAATGAAATTTGTTTTTCTGCTGAAATAACTGAATCAGAAATTTCAATTTTGTATGCTTTAGCAATTCCATTTCCATTTACTTTGCAGAAATGATTTCGAAAGGTTTTTTTTTTAAACTTCAAGGAAAAGATAAAAAGCAGAGAACGAGATGCTTCTGAAATTCTTCCTCAGAATTTCATTCATCTAAAAAGGATTATCAAAGTCAAATAGTTGTAAGGCAGCAACATTGACTTCAAAAAGTATCATTTGTCACATTTTTCTTCCAGTTTATAAAATTGGAAATTCTTCTTCAATGAATTTCTTATTTACATCTGTTATAGACAGTATGACAAATGATGTCCTTCCGGTGAAGACGGAATATTTGGATTCAAGAAAGATTCGAATACAAATGAATGACAACAATGTTAATGCCTTTGTGTACATTTTTGAATATTCGACAGTTAGTACTGCATCGGATAATTGGATTTTCGCTGTTAGTTTTGATTTTTAGTCCTCTTAATCACAGAACGCAAAGCTAAATTAAAGTTGAAAAATAATTCAACTTGCCTGCAAATTAATATATGAATGAATTTGCATGAAAGACAAACAGTCCATGCTTATCTTAACTTTATAATACTTTCCCATTTCAACAAAGTTTCATATTACTTAATTCCTAATTCATTTTGATATCAATTCTTTCTATCTTTTTATTTATTTCAAATTATTCGATCAAATGCAGGTTAAGCTATTTTAGTCTTACAAATATACCAAGTATGAATTCTGAGTATAAATTCTGCTTAGCTCAGAAAACTTATCACTTGCATCCTTTACAAATGATATATAAAATAATGTAATAATAAATTATTTGTCATACGTATCTTTCGGTTGGTTATTGTAAAAGAGGCGACAATAAATTTCGTTTCTCACTTTGATGTCTCATATAAGCTTGTGTAATGCTAAATCCATCATAACTCACTCAACTTTTTTAAAAATTCCCCTTCCAACTATTTTGCTCACTTTTTATTGAATTAGTTTGTCAGTTGCTTATTTACTTACTTACTGTTTGACTATAAGTTATTTACTTTGCAATACTTTTCCACATTTCTCTTTCTATGACTGATTGATTCGATTGATTACTTCGATTCTCTTTCCATGCAAATAACTGTTTGTATATAATTGAAGTATAATTCCATTATTATTAAGGCAATAGTTTTCAGGGCGTTAACTTATCACCAGACATAACTTTTACAATCGAGGATGCCTGTCGGGATTATCAGTTTCGTGTAATTGTAATTTTGAAAAATGAAGAAGCAGATCGTTGGTTGCTAGTTTACCGACCTCGAGTGATACCGGTTGATTTACCTACATTCGCTATAACACCCGATAAGGTACTCAAGCAAGGATCACTCAACTTTTCCAAAATATGTGATAAGCACAATTCACCACACTTTTTTTTTATCAATTTATGATTTGAAGTTCTAACTTGAATGAGTGCATAATTAGTATGGATGTGACAGCTTGTATCGGATAAAATGATTACTAAAACGTAATAAAAATGATGGTAATGTTACAATCTTTTGAAATTACATTTCTTAAGATTTTGCGAAACATCATAAATACTCATATTGATGTACGAAGCTTTCTTTATTTATTTCAGATTCAAACTGCATCACCGAAGTATAATGCGGATGACGATACAGTAGTTGTTTACATCTCGTGGGAAAATCCAACCGGTTATACGGACGCGGATATATATGGCTATGAAGGTCCGGCAATTTATCCGCTTCAGTGCAATTCACCGGAAGGGGAATTACCATCACCATCCGTAGTTAGTTTTACTTTATCGGATATTTAAATAAATGATTTACTTTTTGTTTGGACTGGTCAAAAATTAATTAAGCTTCAGAATCACAGCACGAAAAGAATAAAAATACAAAAAATGAATGATATGCTGAAATTTGGTATAGGAATTAAACTGATTGAATTTAAAAGCACAGTAATTATATTCAAATTTTAGGAATTAAGGAAAGGTGGTGGCCGTTTACGGATATCGTTGCCATCTGAAGTGCTAGACAGTAAATGTAGAGTTTGGGCAGAGGTACAAATGCTACCGCGGTGCATTCGATTGGAACCATTTAGTATTCAACAATCATTCGAGCTTGACTGTGACAAATTGACAACCCTTGAAGTTTGCAGACATGGTCATGTATTTATTTAAAATTTCCTCAAACTTCTCCATCCCTAAATCATTTTATCAAGAATTTAAATCCTGACCTCTGACTTGATGCAAATAAGCTTCGAGAAAAACTATCTATAAGGTTGGTCATTTTTAGAAATTGCACCACAGTGTACAGACGTTATTGATGTTTGGGGTTATGGAAGTAATGCAACGATTATGTGGTCACCACAGGACGGTTTCGGCATACCACTTTATTATCACATTCGTTACGGTCCAGCAAAAATGCAGGTAAATTATATATGCGATTCTTGAAAAGTGCTTAAGTTTAACAGTGAACAAAACAGAATTCTTTCAGAATTTGTTTACCCAAGAATCTTTAAATATTTCCAATTATATTTCTTTTGCTGCTTTCTCATATCTATCCAGAACTTGCCAACATTATCACTTTGTGATAAGCAGGAGACATGCTTAGTGACCGATGATTAGTCTAGATATCAGTTTAATGTAGTAGAAAAGATCGAAAGTAAACGTATGAAATTATAAAAAGGAATTTAAATGATAAAATGATCCCCTTAAAAGTAAATGCAAAAATTCAGAAAATACAAAAAAAAAGGGAATAAAAGAGGGTTACTTTTTAGGGTATACCACCACTTGCATCATGGACGATTGCATCATTGCATGAGTTAAAGATAACTGGTAATAGTACAAATTTACAACTTCACATCGATCCTGATATTGACTACGGAATACAAGTTTGTGGTGTTTACAACGAACATCGGAAGAAACCAAAATTTGAATTGATGCGTGTCATACCTTTCATATGCACTTCCTGCAAAACAACTCGTCAGTTTCTCAATTCCATTAAATCATTAACTCTGTCTTTCATCCCTCTAACATCTTATCTTCAAATAACTCCATTTTCTCTGATTTAATTACTGATGTTTGCAAATTTTTCAAATTTATTCTTTCCCAAGTCATCATTAATTGCAGCTAGAAAAATTACTACTGAAGAAAAAACTATTCAATTCTTACAATTTTATGATTATAATGCAACATCATATCAGACATTATTATGAAATGTTATCGTTTACGAATTTTATCATTCTCTAACATAACACTGCCTTCAACTTTTTGTGATCTCTGCTTTATATTATTTTCTTATTTCTCTTATTTTTTCCAACTTCAACGTTTCTATTCCTTTGGACAGAGCAGTCCATTAAATCTCTTTATTCCTTCATTCCCATCTCTTTTTGTGAATTCTATTTTAATTTCCTCCTAATGTTAGTTTCAGCAGCGGAATCATTCGGACGTTGCGGTGAATGCACCAAAATCGAAGGACCTTTACTGCTCAGGCGCCGCTGTCATCCAAAAGGCGGTCCTGGTTGTACTTTGGCTGGAAACATTTCCAACGCTTCCGATACCAAAGGTTGAAGAACTTTAACAAAAATTAAGAATGGTTTTATCACAGCTTCATGCTAATTCGAACTTTGTGGATAAGAAACCAAAATATGATTCTTAAGTATAATTTCAGCTTCTTAAAATCCTAGAATCTGGATGATGTCGAGGAATAAGATTACCAATCTTGTAAATAATAATGATGATAATATTAATAATAATTAATAATAATAATAATAGCAATGATAATAATAATAATAATAATAATAATAATAATAATAATAATAATAATAATAATAATAATAATAATAATAATAATAATAATTGATAATAATAATAATTAATGATAATTATTATTATTATTATATATTTTAGTCAACAAAGTAAGCCTGCTTGATTGATGGCCTCAAATTAGCTCATCATCTTTTACATACATTATTGGCTGGGATGAGGGAAGTCTAAGGATGACTACCGTGTGAAATTGCATATGGCCAGACCAGCTTATAGGCCATTAAGTCAATCGTGCTTTTTCCTTTAATAAGCCCCCAAGCTCTTTTGTTCCATTCCTACTGCTACTTTGCTACTGGCCAGGGATGTGAAAAGTCTAATACGGTGTGAAGTGCTAATATACTCCTCGTTAAGCACATTTTATTGCACATAACTTTTCATAAACAACAATAATTATTCGTAAACAAATCAATTTGCTTATTAATCGCTAATTAGTAAAAAGACACAATTGACATCCAAAAAAAAGAAAAAGAAAAACGAAGAAATAAATGAAATTTAATTTAATTAAAGCTATGTAAGTTTGTGACTATAAACAAATATCAATTAGTTGCAGTGAAAATTAAAATAATTTATTGAATAAAATATACCAAAAAATAATTAAGTATATAAATTTATGAATTCTTCTTTTTTGCTTTTCTTTTTCACATTGGTCAAAGATTAGTCTGTTGACCATCTGGACAAGTTTTAACTCTAACACATCTCAATGTTGTGTAATTTTTGTTTATTTAACCGATTTTCTTCCAATTTTTTTTTTCTCCCCGCATTATTAACACAATTGATAATTGGTAACAGATGACATTTTAGTTTATTAGGTCAAGAATTCCGGTAAGATAACATTTCCGATAACGTTAGCTATGTCAATGAATCATCACATAGGCATGACAATCAGTTATATTAATTATTTACCAAATTGTTAATTACAATATTTCGTTTCGTTAAAGTAATATTGCCGGTAATTTTACATGTATCAATTAATTGTCGCATAGGTATGACAATCAATCATATCAATTATTTTACAAATTGTTGATTACAACGCCCCGTTAAAGCAACATTTTCGATGATATTAGTTTGTTAAGATTTCTTACAAGAATTTTTTTTACACCTTTATTAATAATTTCATAATATAAAGATATTAATTATTAATTAATTATTTACTTCGCCACTATTAGCTTACAAAAATTTATTTTCTTGCCTTATTAATATGATTTAATAAATTTCAAAAAGTAACCAACCATTTTTAGCATTTTTTTTTCTTTTCGTTGCTTAAAATAATTCCATAATATATTGGTATTAATTATTAATTTTTAGTGTTAATTTTCTTGAATTGTTGAAATCTGTAAATTGTATCATTTTTCGTCTTCTTTTTTTTTAAGCATACTAAGAGGAACAAGCACAGATTAGACTTCTTATTCTGATCAATGATTATGGGATTGAAAGGTGATGAAAAGGTTAAAAGGTACAATTTAGATGGATGTTTAAGAGAGCTATCTGAGAGGAAATTGGAATGAATACAGGGCATAGAAAATGTTAACTAATACGTTAATTACGACCTGTGTGAAGATTATCCATAATCTTCCGCGGTGAATAATGAAAAGTTCTTTAGGTGCCGGTAGAATATATAGCTAATGAACTGTAACGAGATGGTTAGTAGGACAAAAAAACATTCATTTATAATTATAGTTTTACTCGAATACACCAAATCATCCGAAATTAATTACTTTGAAATCACGAATTTTCCATTTTTTTTTTACTTTCTCCCTCTCTCTCTCTCTCCCTCTCCCTTTCTCTCTCTTCCCCCCTCTCTTTCTGTTAAATTGTTTATCTTTCTATTTTCCTTCAAAATTATCACAATCAAAACTATTAAAGAATAAAATTAGTATTTGAGAATAGTTATTTAAACATAATTATGATTCAATGGAAACATATTTATGAAATATTTAGTGGAAACGAACAATCTAAGCTTAATTAATCAAATAATTAGCAAATATTTTTACAGCTGATAATTTGTGATTAAAATTAATCCATTGTGTTAGGTTATCATTTACAAATTTATAATTTTGATGAGGAAAAAAAGGTAGGGATAAGGAATAAATTATCAATTGAGTGAATAATTAATATTAATTAAAGACAAATTAATTGTTAATTAATAACCCATCTGATAATAGTTTAAATTTGACAACAAATTATAAATACACAAATAACTTAAAGCCGAATTTCATCACTTAATAATCAAATAATAATTATTATTCACAAATTAATCGTTAACAGATCAATTAAGCTAATCAATTTTCTCTTTTTTTTTTTTGACCGCTTTTAAAGTCGAATAAATGAAATGACAATTTATGGAATGTCCTCATGCCAATAAGTTTCTGGCGATTAAATGTATTGTAAAACAATTAATATTACATCATTCTAATTTTTGCATAACACATATCAAATTAAGGGACAGGGATGTATATACATACGCTGAGAGAGAATATTTGTAGTATATAGTTTTAGTCATAAGACGGTCGTAAGACGGATGACAAAGAATTGCGTCATCCCATCAATTTGTCATTCATCGATGACAAATAGCATACATGATAAATGCTAGAGAATTTTAAGATATACCAGTTCAAGAGGTGTAAATATTCAACGAACCGAACGATTAGTACTTTCTTGGGAAAGTTATGCCATATGTAATTTGGCTTTGTCATCCTTATCAAATTCTATCTATTTATCTTCTTGTGAAAAGAAAATGTTACAAAGCAAAAATCCCTCATTTTATTTCTCGTATTATATTGATAAAAACGATAATTAATCAGAAATGATAACAATAGAAAGATATGCTAATTGTGATAAATATGTTTGTTTATTTTTTATTAAAATTTCATGCCAAAAATGATGATTGACCAATTTTTTCCCGAGAATGAAAGCAACAATCGATAATAAAACTATTGAATTAAATATTTAAATTTGAATAGTAAGCATATTTTAGATGAAAGTGAAATTTAACGAAAAATTTCTTCACTAAAACGTTTTACAAATATGATACTTTTTTAAATTTTGGGAGAGAAAAAAGAACATTGAACTAATTATTGTTAGTGATAATTTTTAAAATTAATTTTTACTATTCTCAATAATAATCTTCTCGTATATTCATGATTTGATTACATTTGAATTCCTCCTTATCATTTTTGATAATATTTGAATTTACATTTTATTACTTAGATAATAATTATAAGTGTTAAATTACAAAATGAAAATGTAATATTTTTTATTAATGTGAGCTAATTTATTAGCAAACTAACAGCATAATTCATAAAAATGGCATTTTAATGATACGATACAGTAATGCTAAAATATGGGAAAATATTCGTTACGATATAAACAAAAATATCCGTTACTGTATATCCTTTATTTGCAATTCACAAATGTTCCATCATCCAATTTTATCATACGGTGGATGAATACTTCATTGTGTTATCAAACTGAGAAATCATTATCAGTTATTATCAATTATTTGCATAAAAAAGAAATTATTATCAACAATATACAGATATCAAATAGTTTAAAAATTTGAAAAATTTCTTTTTCGTTTCACTTTTTCTTTTTAACAAAATTTGATATATGCTACTGTATAAGTGAAGTTGTAAATTTCTAATAATTCCAAATTTTTTTTTCTTCATTTTTAGAAGAAAAAAAAAGAAAGAAAAGACAAAATCATTTCAATATGAGGCAAAAAAAATAATTTGAATAAATTGCATTAAATAAAATAACAAATAAAAAAATCAGCTAGATTTTCTTTTCAAATAAAAATTTTTCAACTTTTTTTTAAATTTTGCAGCCAAAAAATTGTTATTCATTTTTTTACTTTTTTTTTATTATTTTTCTCACTTCATCAGCTTCAAATATTTGTGATATTTACAGTAATGAATTAAGTCAATAGCAATTAATACTATCAAATGAGAATGCTTAGCTTCTAAGCATTAAGAAAAAAAAAGGAAAAATTCATTAGTCTAATGGATAGTACAATTTTAGAGATGATGCATTTCGATTTGTAATTTATGATCTGTCTATTCATATGAAGCGATTACGGGAATGTTAAGTGAAAACAAAAAGAAGGGAGAAAATTTTCTTCCTTTTTTGAATTTGAATTTAATTATATAAATTTTGATAAAGTGAAATTTAAAATAATATTTTATAGCAAATATTTTAGGCAATTGTAGTGTAAGCAAAAAATTTGTGGAAAAAATTCGTAAAAAAAAAAACTAATTAAAAATTAATTCCAAAAATGAGCATACAGTAGATGATATTGAAATTTTTTTTTAAAAATCCACTGATACTTTAATATGTTGACAATAAAGAAATTTGTCAACATTGGAAAATTTCTTGACCTTTTATTAAAACTTTTTGAATTATATCATAAGCTATTAGTAAACGGTAAGATTTAAACATAAATACTGTAATTGTTGGATAAAAGTATCGTTTTTACAAAATGAATATTAATTAATTTCAGCGTTTGTCATTTCATGCAAATATTTGAGGATAAAAGATTAACTCAAATTGACAATTGTTATTTGTTCATGCCGAGGTCAAAAGGCGATGAAGTTAGGTGAGAAGGACTTATTTGTTCTGTACTGTTTCCTTTCCAGATAAACTTCCTACATATAAAGAGAGAGAGGGAGAGATAGAGAGAGGGAGAGAGCAAAACTGTATGATTTACCAAAATGGATTAATAATATTCGAGTACTTACTACTCATCCAAACTTCTTCCTCAAACTCATACTACTTCACCTCTTATTATTACTTATGCAAATGATAACTGTAAGAAAAGAGAAGCGAAGAAAAGGTTAAAGGTTGAAGTGGATCCTTTAAATATAATTAAGAATGATCCACTTATATTCCAATAAGTGCACACTTTTTAAGCTTCTCTTAAATTGGATCATTATAACAGTGCTAACTTTTTTTTCCTTTGGTATCATGTGACAATTTATTTGTCATCGTTCCGCGTGACACTAATTATCTGTTACACGAAATTTTTTTTTTTGCTTGTTAAATTGATTTAAATTTTAAATTTTCAGAATTGAGATAGCATAAATTTCAGTGATTATTCAATCATTATTTATTCAGCAGGCTCAAAACATTGAATTTAATTTACGAAATTTGAAAATAATATGAAAATTAAAATTACCATTGTACATTTATGCAACACTTTTAATTTTAAAATATCTTTCAGTTACAATTAAATTTGATTAAATTATTTTTAAATTACTTTGATAATAACATACTTCACTAAAATGTTAGTGGTAAAATTTCATGGTTCATTTAAAGAACTGTATGACTAATTAACAGTTGCAATATCTATGATACCGAAGAAACGGTAATTTTCGATATTGTTATGGTTAACATATAATTAGCCAAGAAATACAGCTGCCATACATTAGCATTAGTTAATTTGTGATTTCATTATTAACAGTATGAATTATATGTAATTTATATTGGAAAGCCTATTTAAATTTGCCAAAATCACTACAATTTATTTATTCTAATTTTTAAATGAGCCAAGTTTATTCCGATCAAAATCTTCAACTAATCCGTATTAGTTAAAATGGTTAGCTATTAAATATACTTGAAAAGATGAAGTAAAACATTTTAGTCAACTTAACCTACCATTGTCAACTTTATTGAACTTGAATTCAACCTATTCCTTGGCTTCTTCTTTTTGGCTTTTGCTTTTTTCCAATTGATAAATTCAATACTTTTCAAAATTCAAATCCACAATCATTTTGCATTTTGAAATTATCTTAGCAAAAAATCCATACGAAAATATTACGAATGAAAGTAATTAATTATTAAGGAAAAAAGAGCCAAGTCTAGAAGTGAAGTAAAATTAACATATTGGATCCAGACTGATAGTATCATTTATTGTCGATGAAGCAGAAAAGAGAGTATTAGGAAAGGATAGCTAAGATGATGTTTCGTAATGCAAATCCGTCACAGCTGTCCCCGTGATCGTATATATTATTGTATTTTTTTTCTCCCCCTTATTTGATTCCTCATAAAAATTAAAAGAGAATGCAAGAGAAAGGGAGAGAGAGAGAGAGGAGGGGACAGAAGAAAGGTAAATGAT